CTTTTTATTTAATCCTTTTGCAATCTCAACACCATAATGCTCAGCTATCTGCAAAAGCTGCTCCTTTTTATACGTGTTAAGCAACCCTTCACTAGGAGACAGAACAAAATTCTCAATTGAAGCCATCTTATTTGTTATCTATTATTTAGAGGCAGTACTTATATTAACGTGTGCTCTCATAAAGCCTGACACACCAGAGAGAACAAGGCACAAAACAAAGTTTCTCACACTGCTAATGAGATGTAAGGCTGTTTAAACATGGGACCACATTCCTCTAGCTAACTGCCTAACCAGTACTAGCTGTCTCACTCACCCCTAGTCTTCATGCAGGTTAGCGGCGGGATAGATTAAGCACCAAGCCCAGTAACCCGGTTGACTCTTAGCGAGCTAACAGCCACCTAGACAGTCATGGAGTGCCCCCGAGCATCAGCTCTAACCACTTTGCTGCACAAAAATAACAAACTAAAACAAAAAAGGGTCAATGTGGACATCTGGTGTCCCTCATTGCTAAAACCTGACAGGAATATGGGTTCCCAAATGACAACACAGCCTTCACCCACCAGCAGATTAGAAACAAACACCTCAACAGGCCATCAACCTACAAACAGACTAGGCCAATAACTGTGTGAAACACCTCCCTTACAAACTTAACCTGGTTTCTCAGCCCGAACTTCTCCTGAGAAATAAAACCAGGATCCCGGACGAGCCCCCATTTGTTACTGCCTGGCTCAAGGCAGATAACAAGGAGGGAGGCCACACACAACAATAACCATTAACCAAGATCTTTTATTTAACAAAAAATGATTATCAATCAGTATGAGGCATCAGGATTAAGATCAGTAGTGTCAGCAAATGTTGGATGTGTGAGCATGTGTGTGGTGGATGTTGTTCGATGATCAAACCCAAAAGGTGGTGGCTGGTGTGTAGATGCAGGCCCTGCTGAGAGAGAGAGCTACAGCATTTCAGCCAGGCCTTTTATGCTCTCTGGCCCTGCCCTGTTGGGCAGGTAACTCAGCCCCTCCCAGCTCCGCCCTCCACCATCTCCCTGAGGCTGCAACACAGAGCAGAATCAGACACATGCAAGGGGAGAAAGCAGGGGAGGAGCAGGAGGGGTTGTCACAACTGTCTGATATTGTAGCACGCTAACTTTGTTTGGGCTCATGAATGACTCAGGGGACCAGTGTCTGCCTTACAACCAATCAGGTTGGGGGAGGCGGAGAATGGATTTGTTTACAGTCAGAAAGGGCGGGTCGCTCAAAAATTAAAAAAAAATGTTGACAACACAGACAACAAAACACAGCGATATTGTGATATTCCCAAATGTCATCAATGACTAATAGCTATAGTAAAAGCTTTTTTGTATATACACCACAAAAAAGATGCTTCTAGTGTAGTAAAAGTGACAGGTAACATAGGAGCTATTCAGCTCTCCAACACTAATGTGTGAGGAGGCATGATGAAAATTAATATAATAATTAGCTTTCTTACGAGTATTGCAATCCGCAAACGCACACGCTTGTTCCGTGATCGTCCTCTCTTTTTCTCCTCTATATGCAGTCTGGCCTGCATAGTGGGGCTCCAGGGACCGAGTTTAAATTTGCTACATAGGAAATCTCACTGTATCTGATCCTGCTGTTTGGGTCTGCCCGAGGTTCACAGCGATTTGAATGAAGAAATCTTAAAACCTCATCCACTAAACATTGCTTACCTGCAGCTGATAATTGTTACAAGTTTCTTCAAGTGAAAGTCCACAGTGAGCCTGGATAAAGAGCTGTGCCAGTTGATTCTCTCATCGAAATTCTGTATCAGACATGACTTCAGGGTAAAAACATTGTGTAAAAACCATAGACTGTATATAAGATGGACAACCTGGTTCCGCCTTCCGCCTGTATACAGATTTGAAGCCAAAAAGCTCTCGGTAATTCCGGGTTTTTCTCCACTTCCTTGAAACCAGAGCTGCGCAGTAGCGATGCACGCATTCGGCCGCGCAGTCGCCGAGAGTCCCTGTGATGACGCTCGGCTCAAACAGCGTATCCCCCCGGGAGAGCTACGCAATCCCTGAACGCCCATAGGCTGTACCAGGTGTCAATCATAGAAAACATGAACCCCCTCATAACTTTTAAAAACGGAGCTGTACAGAAAAAAAAGGACTTGGGCACAAACCAGTCTTACAATAACTACATGTCAACATCACAAGCAGGGGGGAGAAAAAATTATGTTCTGTGTAATAAATTTCTAAAGTTGGTCCACAGTCCCATAAGCTTTGCTGGCGGAGGCGGGATTTATGACCTGTACTGCAGCCCACCATCAGAGGGTGCTGTTCTCGGAGTGGCTTCACCCAGCGAGGAGGCAGAATCTGTCCATGTTATATACAGTCTATGGTAAAAACACAGACAAACCTTTCCATTAACAGGCTTTGTTTTAAGTTTCAACCTAGAAGGAAAATCATGGTCATTTAAAATAAATACACATTTTTTTGACTGGAAAGAAGAAAAAAAGTGACTCATGCACACCAAAAATTGAGTTGTATTGAGGTCGTTTGCAATCAACACGCTAGCTGCATGACGGCTCTGCAAGCAAGATCAGATCCACACCGGACTTCTTGATAGAACTCATATTCACATCTTCTTTCAGTGTCAAGCCAAGAATATACGTAACTGTCCTGTGGACTGTGGGAGGATGTGAAACTAGAGGGAAACCATGCAAGGACATGCAAACTCCACACAGAAAGATTCTGGCCCGGTCAGGGTGGAACCAGGAACCTTCTCCCAGTAACCACTGCACTGCCTTGCAGGAAGATAGAAAAACTAGAGGTTTTGGTGCACTTGAGTGGTTAAGTCTCAGCTGATGTTGTCTCTTGTTGCTACAAAAACTTCTTGCATCTGAACTTCATTTGGACCCCAAAGTTTGGGAAATACAGCCCAGGTGAGAAAACTCCACTTTCTCCTGTAATCAGCGCCTTGTTTTTACATTCGGCATTTATTTAGCAATCTTCATTTGTATTTTTTAACTTTTTTTTTCTTTGCTCCACAGGCGTAGTTGGTCGTTCCCTTTTGTTCATCAGTGCCATCAATCTTGTGCAGAGAAAACCAATGCATCAGCAGTGTAATTTTGTAATCAGCACAGTGAGGAATACAAATCAGATCGGCAGCCAGGCCGTAATGCATGTAATCCATCAGAATGAAAGTGTTACAGACATCTGATAAACATGCATTTTTGAGGTGATTAATTGACTGAATAATAGATTGATCTCTGTGTATGCTCACAGATCTGGAGTTGATTTCTCTCTCCTTCTGCTGAAGGATGTCGATGGAGTCAGGGTGTGAATGTGAGTGACAAACATAAAGACAATAAAATTATATTTCCCATCAACTCTGTGAAATCGATTTAAATATACAGACAGTTTGGGAATAAGAATTGCACATCTGACGCTTCTTTGTCTGCACTATTAGTGCTGCAGGCATCACAATATGTGTCTGATTGGGACACTTCATTTTGTTTATGACATTTATCTATTTTACTGCTCTCCATTGGTAGCTTCTAAGAATTTTAACTGCTTCACAGAACTTATCTCCTTGTACGCAGAAGTTAAATCCCTCCTCTCAGTTTGAGCTGCAGTTTTGTTGGCATGTTTTTGACAAATAATGGAGTTGTATTTTTCACAGAGAGACAAGGAAGCAGGCTAATTAGACAAGCATCCAGTAAATAGGTAATATATCACTGAGCTAATTGCTGCAACAATAACACAGATTTGGCATTTGCTTTAATTTGCTTCATCGGCTTGAGAATTAAGCTTATTAGTCTTTGAGTCTAAAATTTCTGCCTGTTGGTTTTTCCATCCCCCACTGTTGAGCTGTAAATGGATGAGGAAGGTGTTTGGGGGAGTTTTTGTTTTAGGAGTGCAGACTTTATAAGAGAAGAAATCAAAAAACACAACGCCACCCATTGGTGTGTGCACTAAAAGCCTCATGGTTGACCTTTTCACTGTTTCCATAAGGTTTTTTTAGGAGCTAAAAGTGTCAATATTTGTCTGATGAGTTAAGCTAAAGAAGCTAAAGAGACCACACAGCTGCTCCCTGATGTGTCAGTATCCCCATTTTTAGGTTCGACAACTTACAATTATAAGGTTTTGTAGGTTGTATTTCAGATGACAACAAATGGCATTATATGTGAAGGCCACTTACTTTTGCTCACTTTATAACTACAAAGCTGTGTAAAAAGTAGCAGCCCTAAGCTGTGTCTCACTTTATTAACATTAGAGTAAAAGCAGCCAAAATGTTTCATTCAGGGGCTGAGTAAAGCTTAAATTAGGGGCTGGAGAGGACGCTGGCGTTGACTGTTCGCCGCTTCTCCATACCTGTTGACCTGTTGACTCTAAACCCCCACAAATTCCCACCCTCCACAGCTAGGTTGTTGTTCCACTAAACTCTGGGTTCTCCCCAGATTGTGTCTCTGGTATTGCACAAACCCGCCCGGGAGTCGTCTGTGTGGTGCCTAGCAAGCCTGGTGCCCCTTCAGCTGGGATGGCGGCGCTGACACGGTGCTAGCTGCTAGACTGCAGCTAGCCCCTGTTATATCAACCTCTCGCCTTCTAGCCAATCTCCCCGGCTTCTGCATATCATCTGCCCTCGAACGGATGTCTGCATGTGGGCTGCCATCTCTGTGGAGGCTCTGGACATTCCTGGGTTGTGCGGCTGCCATCCATCGTCGCTCGCCGGGATCCTGGCTAATGGCTAACACAGACACTCCGGGCTACTCCACCGTCATCTCCGCACCGCTTCGGAGCTTCCATCACATCAGGACTCCCTCTGGTCAACTCCAACTACCTCACCGACCCCGCTACATCCACAGAGGATCTGGTCGCCGGTTTGTTCTGTCCAAACACGGTGATCTTGGTAACTGTCACCAATCCATTACATCCCTCTGGTCGGCTGGTCGCACAATGGCGCCATCAGAACACTGCTACTACAGTCGCTAAAGACAGGTGTGCGTATGGCCGGATGGACAGAAAACCCGGAGTGGATTACAGCGTCCTGCGCCCCCTTAATGGACCGGACTCTGCAAGCCATTCCACACTGGAATTACTCAATGTTCAATCACTGACAAACAAAGCCAGACTCATCAACGACCACATCACAGACAAGGAAATTGACATTCTCTGTCTTACAGAGACCTGGCAACAGCCTGAGGTCTACTCTGCCCTCAATGAGGCCTGTCCCCCTGGGTACAGCTACCTCAGCAAGGCCCGGACTACCGGTCGGGGGGGTGGCCTCGCTGTTTTTCACTGCAGCGCCATTCAAACCTCTCTACTGTCTGCCCCACCCTTCAACACTTTTGAACATCTGGTTTTTAATTGCAAACACATCACATTGCATAACACCACCTCTGCAACCATAGCACTCATTTATCTCCCCCCCAAACCACATCCATCATTCCTCTCTGAAATTCATGACTTTCTCATCTCACTTTGCACCTCACACTCAAACATTCTGGTTTTGGGGGACTTCAACATTCACATGGACTCACTCTCCTGCAAACTGGCTGCTGAATTGAAACAGGTTCTGGACTGCCTCAATCTCCACCAATCCGTTGTTGGACCCACCCACACAAAGGGCCACACACTGGACCTGGTCATCACAGATTCCATCCACATCTCAGACCTTCACGTCCAGGACATTGGCATTTCAGACCATTATGCAGTCACCTTCAGGACCCCTCTACCCTCCCCCCTCACCAAACCACAGCGCCTTATATCATTCAGAAATTTCAAGAACATTGACTCCACCTCCCTCAGTCAGCATCTCCAGCTTCTCTCTCCTCCTCCAAACACATCACTTACTGATCTCATGGACTACTACAACCACAATCTTCGCTCTATCCTTGACTTTCATGCTCCACTAAAAACCAGGACAGTCACCTTCACCCGTTCTGCCCCCTGGTTCACAGAGGAGCTGAGACTACTGAAAAAGGACTGGCCGAGTCCTGGAGCGGGCCTATGTCACATCTGGGCTGACGGTGCACAAGTTGGCCTACCAGGAACATCGTCGGAGATATGCCAATGAACTCTCCAAGGCCAGGTCAGCACACTACTCTAACATCATTAACAATAACCCAGGTAATTCCAAACAACTCTTCACCACAGTCAAACACCTTCTCAAACCTCAGACTTCACCACACCACAACCAAACAGTCACCCAGTGCAACAAATTCATGGATTTTTTTACCTCCAAAATACACAATATCCGCACATCTCTCTCCTCCGCCAACAGTTCTATCCCGTCAAGTGACATTGCTCCCTGTGGAATGCCCTCCCCGACCACCTCAGGGCTCCACAGTCGGTGGATGCTTTTAAAAAAAGACTCAAAACCTTCCTCTTTCGGAAAGCCTACCTGGACTAATTTTATCTGATTTTATCTGCTGACTGTTTTTATTGTTTTGCCCTGTTGCTTGATTTTACTGTTATTGTTGTCTTATTGTGCACTTTGAGATTTGTTTTTAAATGTAAAGTGTGTTACAAATAAAATCTATTATTATTATTATTATTATTATTATTATTATTATTATTAGGGTTTTCATGGACTCAGTAAGAAGTTTTTGAGGTTCATGTCATGCAAAGCTTCTCTATTGGTGTTCCAGACCGACACAATGAAAGCTCAAAATCAGTATAGACATGTAATAAGTTGTTACTGATGATGTTTTGCTCACCTGTGTTTATATGGGATTCATGTAAACCCGGACTATTCAATGAAAAAACTCCTGCTGCCGTCATTGAAAGCCTTTCCAAACAGGCTCTTCAAGGTTTTTCTGTTGCCTTTCTTGAACTGAAACCATGGCAGCAGAGTTCATTAATAGACTGCTCTAAATGGAAGTTGTCTGATTTAGCTCAAATAAACGTATAAACAAGTTTTTCTGCATCTTGTTTGCACAGAAACATTTCTGATATTTCATCAGTTAGAGAATGCAGTAATTAATATATTTCCTAAGCAATCAGAGTATCAGGCCTGTGCTGTCTGCCCAGCTTCGGCTATCTGGGTGGAAGATTGATGAGACTCTTCAGGTGAATACAAAGCTAAATGTCTGGTTTATTAATGTGCTGTGATTGGATCCATTAGCTGCCTTGTGTAAACTAATCGCCGTATAATGTGTGTTGTCATTTCAGCCTAACTGCTCATAATGTATTCCTCCCCCGTCTCTGCAAATGCTGTTATTTTCCTAATAGACCCGTACAAATAATGTTGTGTCAGGAGTAAGGATTTTTTTTTTTTTTTACAGCCCCATCCGGTTCTGTGAACAGTAAGCATGTTTCACATTCACATTGATTGCTGAATTTGCTTTGTGCTCCTACTTGCGGTTCTCTCAAACATGCAGAAATGCAGAGACTCTGCAGCAGATTTCAGCGAATCAAGGTGTAATTCAGCCGAGCACTTTATTTTAATTTTCATCTGGTGGAGTGCAGGTTTTCTGTCAGTGCAGGATGCAGTTTTATGCTTTGAAAATGAAAACAAATCTCAGCAGCATCCTGAAGTATTACTGCAGATAACCTTTCATTTTTGCCTGATATGACATCCAAAAACACATCAGCAACACCAGGGGACGAAGATTATCGACTGGTAATAGCAGATCTAATATTATTGCTTTCACAAAAGGATAAAAAACAGCCTCGCAGCACCATAGCAGTATCATAACTGTACTGGCTGGCATCCAGCCTGCCATCTTCAGGGATCAATTTCTTCAAAGCATAATGTATCTCCTTTATTCTCCATCTCAGATGCAGAGTTGGTGATCTCAAGGTGCTAAGAGACACTTTGAAGTGCAAAAGAGCTTTCGGAGTCAGAGATGGAGGATTCACAGAGCAGGTTTCTCCCTGCTGAGATGCTCTGACCTTAGGTAAGCAGAGAGAAAGTGAGCAAATTGAAAAGAAGTTTAGTAGGGCATGCCACAGCTCAGTGTACATACTGGAAAACAAACCTTGTAAAACGGCCTGTCAGCATCGATTTGCAATGCCAATGGATTTTAAAGAGTTATAACAGGTTTGTAAATGGCTCCTTCCTCCCAAAACTGATCTTTGTGTCAACGCTATTTACTGGAGAAATGTCCCATTTTTATCATCAAGGATTTGTTTCCACTGGGTGAAACTTGGTGCTACAAACTTTGAAATCTGGTAAAGCTTTTAAATATAAAACGGACGGATTGTGCACGTCTCAAATCTAAATTCAGGTCAGGTGCTGGGCATCAAGGTATCAGAGCTGAGGAAAGGGAGGAACGCCTGCACACTAGTTTACATGCTCCAAACACACTTTTATTATATCAAGGCAACAGATATATATAACAACAACAGCAGATATAATAAAAGTGTGTTTGGAGCATGTAAACTAGTTTGGGGGGGCGTTCCTCCCTTTGCAAAGCTTTTAAATATGGCTTTAGCATTTTAAACCTACAATAAGGAGTTTTCCACACTTACAACAAAAACCTCAAAGTTACAAAGTTTGGTGTCCATACTAGATGTATGCAAAGTTTCAAATCACAAGATAAATTTAAATTGTCATAATCCTAGAAAATAGACATAAATGCTCCACGCAGGAGCCTGTGAGAGGAAGCCAGATTCACTGAAATGCCAGCATCAACATTATAGGCTCTCCTCTTCCGGTAAAGCAGAATGACCTGACTCCAACAGCGGTGCTTTACTGATGGACCACAATACGGGGGTGGGGCCAAAACATCCAGCTCTGCCCTCGGCCAGCTTCCGGAAAGCCTCTGGAGAGGTGGCCAATCAGAAGAAAGTAGGCTTAAAGAGACAGCAGCCAAAACGAAGAATTTTAGACAGAGGATAAATTAATGATATTTTAATACACCACTGTGAGAAACAGGAGGCTTTTTTGATCTGAACATCACGTGAAGATATTAAAGAGGTTTCAGTAAGGACAGGAGTCTGAAATTTAGCTATTTTTAAACTTTATGGATCTGTGCAAGCATGCCCATTGGACCAAACAATGGTGACTTACAAAACTCAGTTGTCATTTCTACATATTTCTAAGATAGGTGGTGAACTTCCACCCTCCGCTGCGTCCCCGGTCTACACGAAAATAGATCCCCAGGTATCAATCCACAGAGTGCATGATGAGTGGTCCTCGGGGTTTCTCCCATTCAACAGATTATGCATCACACTAGATGAAAATCTGACAAAATAATATGAGGCATATTGTGACTTTGCAGATTTTTGTCAGAAGGGAAGATTTGGCCAAAAATCGGCCTGATCATCTAGTGTTTTATGTCTGATTTTGCTAAATATGCAAGTTGTTGTTCCATGATTTTCTTGAAGACTCCAAAATCAGGCAACTGGACTGTGTAGAGTTGAGAAGACGTTTTGCCTCTTATCCAAGAAGCTTCCTAAGTTCTGATTATTGCTAGTGTGAGGAGCAGATATTTATCTTACTGGAGAAGGGGACAGACAACGACTGGGAGGAGTTGGAAAGAATGGGTCGTAGAAACCCATCTCTGGGTGTTCCCCCTGAGGGTCGTTAACCTGAAACGAATCTTCAAGAAAACCATGACCTGGATGAATGAGAATCTGCATGGACGTTGTTCCATGATAACACACATCTAACTTAGTGTATGTTTCTAAATTGCTCATTTTATTAAAACATTTCCAAAAATCCACTTTGCGCCTTCCAACTGCCATCCTGCCTGTATGCTTAATTAAAGTGATGCCAGAAAATGTTTTATGGTATCTGCAGCTGCATTCATCCTATTTTTAAACTTTATGGATCTGTGCAGATATGAAAAGATAGCTCTGTGTCCCTCTCTAAATATATCAGCTTTTATTTTAGAACAGGGTTAATTTACGTTTTCAAAGTATAACACAGATAACTCTACAGGATTAAAGTCAAACCTCTAAAGTAAGTACCTCAGAGCTCATGCCCACCCACACAAAAGGTTTTGTTTGTTGTTGTTTACTCCCTCTTACCTCTATCACTGTATCATGTATGAAGTGACAGTCGGGCGTTGCATCTCTGTAACACTTCCACCAGCTCATTATGCAGCCAGTCAGCGCGGGCCTCGTCTATAAATAATACTGTGGCCCTTTCTTTTTGCAGCAAGTTCACACAAGACGGCAGCCAGTCGCCTGGGAACTCCACTTCACAAGAAACGGCACAACAAATGTGGAGAGAACTAGGAACAAAAGAAAGAAAGCGAGTGTCACTCTGCTGGTTTATTTTAGCTGCACACATGCTGCAGAGTGAAGCACACATGCTGGTGTGAGACCGAAGCTGCTCAGGAGCTGATGCTAATGGACAGGTCTGGATTACAGAAGCACTACAGAGAGTTTACAAGTTTTAAAGTTAGTTAACGAGGCTGAAAACATGCAACCCCCCCAAAAAGACACCCAAACACAAAAAACAATCATGTTTAAGTACAAGAGAGAGACCAATATTAAGTCCTGAACAATCACACAACTTTTAAACTGGATTCTAGGTTAAAAGAAAAGCCACTGTAAAGACCTGAGGATGAGAGCAACACAGGACCCTCTGAATGATTTTACCAGAAGTTTAGCAAAAGCGTTTTGGCCCACTTTTAAAAAACACATTTTTTTCAGACATGGTGAAAAGAGAGGTGAACCAAACCTGATATACGTTGGTCGAGACTCAAAGCCTGGTCGAGCTGGACTCTGGGATTATGTGGGGCGTCTGCAGGGCAGGAGATAAAACCCCAAGACTTTTTACTACACCAGACAACGTTTTCAACCTGGTTTGACCATTAGTCCTGCCTCTACCTGATCAGAGAGACTTTGGCATGGAACATCAGCACCCAGTGTGGATCATCAAGAACCCACATCCTCCAGGTTTAAAAACCTTTAAGGCCAGTTTAACTCCAGAGGTATAAAATATAACCTGAAAAAGTAGACAACCGTCAAAGTGTTTACTAAATATGGTTAAAAAATTTTCTCTGGATGTCATTGTACTAATGTGAAACTCAGGGTGTCAATGATTTCCATGACAAACTGACGTCTTAGTCTCAGTGCTCACTGGTTCTGGATCTTAGCTGAGGCTGTCAGAGCTTCAACTCTTATGATGTTGGGTATTTTAGTTGATTTCATGCAGACAGCTCTCAATCTGCAGCTGAAGAACGCTTGCACATTTCCTTTCCTCACTCCATTGTCCTGACTCTAAACACACCTGGGGCTCTATTTTCGTGCCTGCTGTCTACGCGGCATAGGGTGGCGGACCCCGCGCAGTGGTATTTTCGTCTGGTGGGGCCCGGTGCACAGCCAGTTTGGTATTTACGTGGAGTAAGGCGCACTGAGGTCCGCCAAGCTGGGCGTGGTGGTGCGGCAGGGGGAGGTGTCGACAGAATCAGCTGGTGCAGGGACATTTGAAAAGTGCGCTGAAAGCTTGCGGATTCAAACCTGGTCAGCTTTCAGCACAGGTGGAGTGCAGCTGGTCTAGTGGTATTTTGGTAGACCAGCGGCGTACTGGCATACGTCACTGATGCCTCGCCGGCAGGTTTCCACAGTGTCAGGCACATTTCAGTGCAATAAATAATCAACAACAGCCAATATTCTGAGTCAGCACACACATTTAGATCTATATAGATATATTCTGATCTAAATCTGATCTGATGAGCGCGTTTGGCACGCGTTTGGACACTCAACCTGACCGAATTAACACAGCTGCTGAAACCGCATTAAATGAAATTAAATATCTAGTAAATAAACACACATGATGAAGTTAACAAGATATGTAATTTGTCTCCCTCCTTTTCTTTCTTCCTCTTATTTCTCGCACAGCTCGACCTGGACATGTCTCTGTGTCCTCTCCCCGTCCTGCTGCAGCTGCTGCTGCGGCGGCTGAACAAATGATTTGTTTCAGTGATCAGATGAGTTATTTACTTTAAGCCTACATACAAATATTATAATATTCAGTTTTGTGAGCCAAATTTATTTTATATGCCAACATCTATGAAAGAAACAGCCAGGCCACGGAGCGTGATGCGTCATTTACGCACAGGTGGTTCCGATTTTAATGCCATTATTGGAATTTATGTTGCGATCTGTGTGCACAACCCACCTTTGTCACCTGTGGTTTTAATATATGAAACTTTATGTTAGTGTCTTTATTTGTGGAAAAGGGTGTTTGTTTTACCAGTGGGTCCAACCTTACACACACCAAATCCATCTGTGCTCATATGAGACAGTTTGGAGGACACCCTCTGCAGCGCTTACCGCTACACTTGTTGAGGGTCTGCCTTCTGTCGCCATCATGTGGCATTGCTGTCCTCAACCATCTCTTGATCTCTTTGACTACTTCACGAAAATTGTAATACGCCTCGCCGGTGGCTGATTTAAAGGTGAGGAGAGGAGCGGATCTCATTGGCGAAAACAGGTCTCGGCTGTGTTAACCCCACTCCACGCCCTCTCTACAACTCACGCCGCTGGGAGGAGCTAAGTTAGAGAGGGGGAATACTTACACGGGCTGTCCCGCTCACCGGCGAGGAATGAAAATAGAGCCCCTGGACTTCCTTTCTTCCTGCTTCAAATTTCCCACAAAGCCAATCAGATGAGCTGAAGTGGACATTCACACACACACAAAAAATGCTGGGTTGTTTTTTCAACCCAACCACTAGGTTGAGCCTGTTGGTCAATTTATTAGGGTTGTTTTCATGGAGTTGGGTATTCTAAATACCCAATTCGCAAGGTTATTTATGTTGGGAAAAGAGTTATTAGCTGTCGGGTTGTAATTTCTATTCAGTTTTGTTGGTTTATTGTGGACTATCCAACACGTTGGGTAGACGTTCGGGCATTTGAAACCAAGCACCACCCACTCACCAGATTGATGCCACAACTGCTGAAGCGAGGAGACGTACAAGGTTTGTTACATTCCCACTATTGCTTTACCATATAGATGACTTGATATTATTATATAGACCCTCATTTTGATGTTAAGATGTAAGTTTGTGAAGCATTGTTGTGTACCAGTTTCTGCCTTCAGGAATCAATTGGTAGGTGAGCAACGTAATGGTTAGCCAACATTAGTAGCATAAAGTACATTGCCTCAAATGTAGCAAGCTAACACGTTAGCTGATGTGTGGTGTGGTGTGGTCAGAAATGTTGAACTACTGCTTTAATGGACTCACTGTCTTGATGTTTCAGGTTGATACGAACAATCAACGGATGACTTTGTGATGTGGAGTGGAGTGGATGCGAGATACAACCTCCTGTTCTGTATTGTTTATTTTGAAAATATAAGAAAACCATATTAAAAAAAAGAAAACTCACAAATGTTTACAAACTCCAAGGTTCATTCTTCGTCAGTAAAATGTAAAGCATGTTTGAGTACAAAGAAAAATGAGCAAAGCACTAAAAAACTTTAAAAAAGAGCATAGAGTGACACCAAGAGTAGTG